CCACCAAGGCTCGCAAACAAATTCTGTCCAACCTCGAGAATAGCTCCCCACTCCGCCACATTAGGATTTGCGATCCCATTCCAAAGTGGATGCAAAGGGGGTATAGGAAACTGATTCTGGTTGAAGTACAATCGAATGTAGTGGTTGTTCACATAGTGCAGTGATAAGAACATGGTTGGTGGCAAAGTACCTGGGTCCGCATCAATAGGCAATACAGTATAGGCATCATCGTAGCGGTTGGGTAGTGGACGGTTTCCATTATTGACATCAAACACCTGGTATGTGAAGACCATGACTGCGATGTTGTAGATGGTGGCAAACACGAACAAGTCCTCAGAATCCATCCATCGCCCCGGTGGTGCGTGACCCGCCTCGAGCCAATTGATGCGGTCAATGTGAGCTAGTGGACCACCATTATACAAGTTCTCGTACTTCCAAAGATGTTGTTGGATTTCTTGGACAATCGTCGATCTCATGAGCAGATAGTGACTATCATCCCCATAAATACAATGAGAAAGTGCCCTAAAACCACAATGGCCATCTGGACTAGGGTTGAAATCGCCTACCAGCAAAGGTCGAACAAACTCTGGAAAAAGCTCATCGATGTAAGGGTAAGAATATTGCCCTGGGGGGCTCTGGGATGAGTAATCTACAAAAATATACCAAACGGTCAAAATTACATGGAAAAAATTTACAAACATAAACCAATTACTACTAGATATTAAACCAATTACTCACCTGTATCATGCTCGTCGGATTCACCTCCACTCGATCGGGATCTGCCTCCACTTGATCGAGATCTGCCTCCACTCGATCGGGATCTGCCTCCACTCGATCGGGATCTGCCTCCACTCGATCGCCCCCTACCTCCACTCGAACCAGGCCCAGTACTCCTCGAACGAGACCGCTCATAATATGAACGAATGCGACTGGTGCTTGTTCTAGGGCGTCCTCTCGGATTCTCATTCACTTCCGGTTCCCTCACATTGTCCTCTGCTGGATGAAGCCCATAGAATAGGGCATCTCTTGCTTGTCTCACTGCTTCAGGACCTCTTTCTTCCACCTCAACAGTAAGACGCCTAAAGTGTTCTCGTTGAAGCTCAATTTCATCACTGACTTGTTGTTGACGTGGGGGGTTTTTATAATCCAAAGTCCGCCAAAATACATGCAACTCTTGAGCATAGAATTGACGTCCTTCTTCCTTAGCTTGAACAATCTGGCAAGCACACTTGAGCCCATGTGTCATCTGAAAATGACACGCACAACTGTCCTTCAACTCCGCCGCCCCATCTAACATCAGTTTGATTGCCTCAGAACTAACGACCCTCCTCAAAAACGTGCACGGAGCCTCAATTGCCCTACTCAGATTGCGGTTCAGTGACTTGTGCAGTTCATTCACCACTTCCAGAAACTGATGTTCCATGTAGTTGTGGTTCTTCGCAAAACAAGTGTCGATCGCTCCTCTACCAGACACAAGGAAAGTCTTGAATGAAGAGTGAGATGACTCAACTCTATTCGAGCTCGTGTTACCAAGATGAAACACATGGTTCGTGTAGCACATTGCCCACATTGTCTGATGAGGCAACCACTCACCTCGCACGTAGTCGACCATTTTTTTGTTCTTCACTGTCCAGACCCTCTCAAACTCATTAATCTTTTGAAGAAAACCCTCCTGAGTCCAACTCCATGCAGCTTTGTCGAAATATTTCTTCCATACCGCATGTGCTACCTCTCTTTTTGCAATTCCACCAAGTAACACTTCAAACTTTTGCTTCACACAGTTGTTGACGTGCCATAAACATAGTAGGTGGACAGTATGTGGGAGAGGGAAGACCACAGGAATAGAAGCAAGCAAACCACCTTCTTTGTCTGTCACAATGACATTCGGAACCGTATCACCGAGCAACCCTTTAATACATCGCAGCAGCCACTCATATGTTTCCTTTGTTTCCTGCTTACTAATTGCACATGCAATGTTGAAATTCTTCTTCACTGGAGTAACCCCAATAATCTCAACCCATGGCCAGCCGTACCTGTTGGTCTTGTAGGTCGAGTCAATGAGGATGACGTACGGCCATGCATGCAACATCTGAATGGACGTCGGGTGCGCAAAAAACAGATTAGTGAGCACATTATTAGAGTCCTTTTGCAAACAGATATGGTACCCACGATGTTCAGCTCCGTGAAGCGCAAACTGTATCGCATCCATTTCACCCATCTCATCCAATCTTGTCTTGGAATTTATGTTGTACATCTGTTTGATATCATGATGCACACCCCCTTCAGTATTGAGTGTCGTCTTCTGCTGATTTGGTCTCACCCCCGCCTTCCTCATTAATCTTAACCTCTCTTTTTCAGCCTCACTAAACTGTTTGTTGTGTCGGTGATGTTCTGGATACAACACCTTTTCATGGTTGTGAAACCCTCTATTAGCTCCGGTTTCACGCCTTGTCACTCCCACCATGACCCATGTGTTTGGACCATCCTTTTGCCATACTTCCTTTATACATATCTGAAACTGGCAACCAGTACCCTTCGAACTAATATTCTCACGCGTCTCCTTCGTAGGGTCTGGTTTATAAGACTTAACGATCCTACTACTTCTGTCGCAATACATACAGAGGGCAGTAACAGGATTCTGTCCAGCAGTATTCGGTTTCCATGATCCTCTAACAATAAAGAACCCACACTGCTGAGCGATTGTTCTTGCAGCTAACTCAACTAACTCCACACTTGCATAATGGATCCCATTCTCAAATTCATGTGTGTAATCATGATCGGCCGGTAACAACTCTGACATTTTTCCTACAGTTACAATATAATATATCAATATTCCTGTGAACCTAAACGCTAATTTCAATTCTTAACCGCTAAATTCAACTCCTAAACTCTAAATTCAATTCTTACACGCTAAATTCAACTCCTAAACTCTAAATTCAACTCCTAAAATCGAATTTTTCCGAAAAATTGCAAAAACAGACTGTGAGCCGAAAATTTCCGGTGGCCGGAACCTGGCCGGGCCGAAAATTTCCGGCGGCCGGAACCTGGCCGGGCCGAAAATTTCCGGTGGCTGGAACCTGGCCGGGCCGAAAATATCTTGCGGCTCAGCCTGGTTCCGGCCGCCGGAATTTTTCGGCTCGGCCAGGTTCCGGCCACCGGAAATTTTCGGCCCGGCCAGGTTCCGGCCGCCGGAAATTTTCGGCCCACCGTCTGTTCGTTTCAAATCGTCGGAAAAATTGTTCGAAACTACAAAAAAATTACGCACCTGCTTAGTGATGATTCATTGATGCGTGTACGCAGTATATGTCGAGGATAGGCTTTCCCGATGATTTTCCGGCGACTTTTCCGGCGAGCGTTGAATTTTTCTGATTCAATATGTTCTCTGAAAGTTGGATATGTTGTAGATTGTGAAACTCCTTACCCTACTATGTATATATATACTTTTTTTTTTTTTTTTGGTTGGCGGCAAATAGCAATTTGATTGGCGGCAAATAGCAAGCCCCTTATTTACCACCTTGGATATACACGAAGCTAAAGCATATCAAGCCTAATTGCTTTGAGATCATAATATTATTTTTTTTGTTTCTTTTTTACATAAAAATATATGCTGAAAACAAATGGTTGGCGGGAGACCGGGAGTGTTATAAAATTTAAATACCAACTATAAATACCAAATAAAGCATATCAAGTATTTCTTAATTTCAGTTAGTATTTTGGAGTGGGACGAATCAAGAGAGGTAAGTTCCCATTGTTGTCCTCTCATATGCTTTTGTTCTGGTTTGAAGAGGTTTTTGGTTTATGAATGATTTAGACAATTACATTTGTCATTTGTGTGGTAATTTCACATGAATCATTGTTCGAAACATTTTTATCTCAGCCATTGAAATCTTTCTTCAAGGTTTACTCAAACATCAACTGAAAATTGACTACTACGAATCAAATAGGGTAAATAGCTAGCCTTCTTTTCCAATTCATATTGTTTACTATTTTTCCATCTTATTAGTCTAATATTTGTTTATTCCCTCTATCAATTTGACAGACTTTCTTTTCCCTAACTGGATATTCAAAAAAAAATTCTTTCAACTTTTTTGACAGGTTAAGATATAATGTTGATCAGAAGCAAGCAAGTTAGTCACGAAGAAATTTGAAACGACAATATGAATACTTTGTTTTGTAATGTAGATTGGTAGTAATGAAAATCGGTGTACATAACCTATATAAATATTTTACATTATTGTAATTATTGCCTATATCCTATTAGATTATTGATTTTTTATGTTGAATAAAATAATTATCTATTGTTTTTGAATTATCTATATTGTACAAATGGTAATAATTTGTTTATGTGGACACGTATTAATATTAAGACCTAGAAATATTTTAATTTTTAAAAATTATGTAGTTATACCTATTCTTCGTAGCTAGAAGTATGAAATTTAGCTTCAAAGTAATTCCATGGCAAGTGACTAGATTTAGCTATATCTTAATTTTAACTTGGCTAAACATCTCGATGATTCTGCTACATCATTTGCATATCGTGGCAATAAGTATTTTGTCATTTGCTATATTATACTTTTCTTGTAGCTAAAAGTACATGTTATTAGCTATGCAAGTGAATAAAAATGTGGCTAACTCTTTAGGTGCGCCACTTTTAGCTACACAGGTTACAAATTTTTTTTTTTTTTTGTAGCTGTACCATTTATAGCCACAAATCATTGCATGGCTGCATATGCATTTTCTTGTAGTGATAGATTGGATTGGTTTGAAAATACGATAAAATGAGGATTTTTTCTTCAAATATCGTACTTATTGGATGGATTAAATTGGATTGAAAATTGCCATCTCAACCTTGCGGTGCAATTTGCTGACAAATGAGTGATTTTAATTAGGCACTGATACTGTACGCGACAAAATCACTAACCAACCAATATCAAGCTGAAACGACGAGAAACTGTTAACGAAACAGGATTAACGGACAAAAAGGCAGATGTGAACACTGAAACGATTAGAAACTTTTATTCTGACCCTCAAATATTCACCCATGTATGAATATTGGGGCTCTAACAAGTTCACGATCGATGACAAACAACAAAAGACAGTATAATAACACACAACATGACATGGTTAACACAACACATGCAGTACACAGAAGAGTAATGATATGATATTATATATGTGCTGATCTTTCATTAGCAGGATAGGTTAGACCCCGGCTTGACCCCGAAGCGCTTGCAGTACTTCTTGTAGAACTTCACCCGAGATTCAACCGCCGGGCGGTTCCCGCCGTTGCACTCCCCGCCGTTGATGGCTCTGATGGTGGCCGCGAACCCTTTCTTCAGCACCGGGCGGACGCTCTTCTTCCAGAACCACAGCGACGCCTTCCACGCGATGACCTTGTTCTTCGCCACGATGTCGGGATTCTTCAAGCCGTCGAACTTGTTGGCCTTTCCACATGGCCCGTAGTTGTAGTTCCACGTCAGCTGAAGTGGGCCCCTCCCGTAGTACTGCTTCCCCGGGGCGCACGGCCACTTTGTCGCCTTCCGGTCGCAGTAGGTCGCTTTCTTGATCTCCTCGACGTAGCACAAAGCTGCATGCATGCATCGTCGTCGTATGATCAATACATCAACTCCATAGAATTAGATTACGTACGTCCAATGCATTAAACAATCTAATTTTTTTTTATGTAGAAGTGTTTTAGTGATGAAGTGTATTATCCTATAAATTTTTTTTATAATTTTAAAGTACATATTTTGACTATAATTGTAAGTGAAAATCACAATTCTACGCAGAAGTGTTGATGAAATTTAACATTTAACATGCGATTTTGACTGAGTCGAAATGTGAAACTTACATCCGGTCTCGTGGGTGACGTGGGCGAAGAAGGCGGCGATCTCGCGCTTGGTGGCGGCGTCGGAGGATTGCTTGCCGAACTCCGGGTAGGACTTGGTGGCGGTGAGGAAGGCGGCTCTGGTGTAGAATCGCTTCCCTTTGCAGGTTGATCCTGCGTTCTTTATTATGCTGTTGAAGAAGGCCGCCGTCACCACCTTATCCACCGCAACACCTAATTTACCTGCAGCCTCGCGGCCATTGATATCCTCCTCCTCATCCGAGTCCAAATCCGAATAGGACTCATCCGATGGCGAAAGTGATGATTCAGTATCATCGTCTTCTTCGTCGTTTTCATGATCAGTTGGCATTACTATGTAACCTGTCTCATCATTCTCGTCCTCGTCCTCGAGCAAGGCTTCATCATCATGTTGTTCGCTCTCTAGCTCCATATCGTCCTCGAACAAGCCTTCATCGTCGAGTTGTTCGCCCTCTAGCTCCACATCGTCGTCGTCGTTAGGCATTGAGGCTTCGAGTAGATCTCCATCGGACTCGTCGGGGCGGTGGAAACAATCAGCCTCGGTGGTAGTAGGTGCTGCATCTCCTGACGCGGCGGCGAGGATCAGCGGGAGAGCTATGGCTAGGAGGAGAAAGAGGAAGGGTACTATTGTTGACAACTTCGCCATGTTTGGTGAGATAGTTGGGATGTGTTTGAAACGACACAAAGAGTGTCCATTTATAGGCTGGGATAAATGTGTACTTGATTAAGGAATTTGGGTCATTATTAATCTAGTTTCTTATCCAACGTTAAATTGACAAGCTATGGCTAAGGGGACAGGTTGGTTGACAAAATTACTATAAATGTTTGCAATGATATCATTTGGTGTTAGCTTCACGGGATATATTTAGTTTTGATTATATTTCGTTAGCTTCGTGTTTGATCAACCACTATGATTCGTGACTATAGATAAGATGACAAGAACATTATCCAAATAATAACTTTGGTCCATGTTTCCATCTCATTGATTCATTCAAACACATATACTATATTTGGCATCTGTGACTCTGTATCTGCAGCTGCCAAAGTCTTCCGCTTAGATGATTTCTTGTTCCAAAAGTTACTTAGTTGGAGCACTAAATTGAAAACTTGCCTTTCATATGGACACCTACCTGTTACTTCACAGTTTGCACATATATCATGTGGACGTATGCATTTTTGAATAGTTAAAGTAGAGAGGAAAATGCTGTCCACCTCACATCTGCAATTCTAATTGATCTTTATTCGTTGATTTAAAAATTGAAGAGAATGTTTTCCTTGTGAGTATATGTGATGAGGGACAGGCATAATAAGCGGCAATTTATGTTTGATTTGGTTAATTATTGGACTTTCAGCAATAAAGGGTAATTCTCAATGTTTTAAAAAATTTATCCTATCGTCCCCGGTTGGATCGAAAATATCGGGTATATATCTCACCAAATGATATGTAGTTTTAACTGTGTGACATTATTGAATAAGGGTTAAATCCCTTTTTTAGTATTACTACTGACTTTTACGGTATAGTCTTCGGTACGGTTTCTCAATAGCCAAATATGCCTTCGAGAACACTACAACAGGCCTCGAGTGGTAGTCGAACAAGGGATCACCCACTTCTCGGAACGAGCAACCACAAGGATTTAGCCATTTGGCTGTTTTGTGGAGGATTATTCGTAGAACAATTAGTAGAATCCGGGAATTCTATAGAGCTGTCACCGCACCCGTGCCGGCATTATACGTGGTCGGTTCAATTAGATGGATTGATTCTAAATCATTGGTCTTGATTTGATTAGATAATAAACATATAATAAAAATAAATTGAAAATCAAAAACAAAAAATTCCCCGTTCATGATTCCTTTTCTCAATTTACTTTTCTTCTCCTCTGAAAATCCCAATTATGAATCTCTCCCCACCGGCTCAAATCACTTCAACGATCACCGCCGTTTGGCCACCCATCGCAACCATCGTATTGCTGTCAGCCTGTCACCCCGCCTTCTTCCTCCCCTCTCTGAATATCATAAATCCGAACTCTTTCTTTCTGTGCTGCAAATCACAATCACCATCACAACCGTTGCGGCTAGCTAGCCTGCCATCACCAAGATTTAGAGTTGCTACCAGTAAAATTAATACAACTTTGAGGAGCAAATAGACCTTTTGATATGATATATTCAATTTTGTCTCCACCATCAAATCAACTAATTCATCAATTTCTTTTAATACATAAAGTGATTCATCATTTTTAACACAATGATAATAACGGTGGAGATAGACATAATTCGTGGATTTTATTTTATACTTTGTAAAAATTGGAGATAAGAGCTACACGTTTATAATTACATTCATGATAATACTACAACAACATATTCAATGTAGTGAAATATAAAATATGTAGTGAAATATAAAATATGTTCGTTAATAACTACCTAAGCCAAAAAAAAAACGTAATGAAATATAAAATATGTTCGTTAATAACTATCATGTTATAGATTCAACTCATATATACTATAATTTATTATTTTTTTCATATTTTCATACTCAAACTATTATAGAATATTCTTTAATAAACAAATCGAAGAAGATAATAATCAAATGTGAAATTTGCATGGATTTTTTCTATAGATATGGTCTTACGGAAATCAATCTTCAGTTTTCTTTGGTATTCACGGTAAAAAAAGTAATAAATAAAAACTAACTACCGTGAAGAAATTGGTTAAGAAAAGAGCCAATAGGTTAAGCCGGTTTTGGTTAAGTAGTGGTTTTAAATCTAAGGCTGTGATTTAAATTAGAACATCTGACGGCTGCATATATGCCGGCACCCGTGCAGGTACGGCATGTTGCTTTGTCCACACAATCCTCCATTAATATACAGTAGAGTTTTGTAACTTTTTTCCATTTCAAATTTCCTGCAATGAAAGTGAAAGTAGGAAGAATATTTTTGTCTTTACAATTAATTATTTATTTCATAAAAAATATCAATATCAAGACTCCAACCCGGGTCTCTTCAGAGAAAGATAGCAATTATAACCAATTATACTAAATGTATTTGTTGTTCCTTTTTTAATACAAAACATACATGTATTTAAACTGTGAAAAGCAGAGAACTTTTCCATCATGATTAATAAGTGCACTAAGTCTACTATATGTATTTTCATGGTGCTTAATACTTCAATTTTTATAGTACAGTTTCATTTAATTTTATCAATTTTAGAATTCATGCTCTCTCTTTTATTTTCGCTAAAGTTAAATTGATAATTGGCTAACATGGAAGAAACTATTTCCTTTACTATGTGTTGTGTCCTTGCATTTTTCAATATAAATTTAAATTTTGTGCCTTTTTTTATCTTTGTTCTTATCTCTTTCTAATTTTCTCCGAAATTCCCTCCATCGTGCAATAGTTTGCGTGCTTTCACTTCCCAGTATAAGGAGCATTTGAAAATCAACATTCCGATATCTTTTGGCACTGCAGTTTTATTCTTGGGGATTTAAGCTGGACAAGTAGAAGATTTCAACTCTCATATCAATCCATGGCCAATAGAATGGAGTTCAATCAAGTAGTTATGGCATGGCCTTGATTATCTCGCTCGATTCCTCTGCACTGGCATCACCCAATGGTTCTGTCTCTCCCCGATGTACTATCAGAAGAACTATTTTGCTGCTTCTATTGCTGAAGGCAATGTTTGATCAGTTATACCTTTCGCCTTTACTCCTCTTCCTATACCAGGCATTGACCTTTAATAGGTTTTCGATTTCCGATCAAGGTTAATCTCTTTACACATGTAAGTTATTCGTTTCTTCTCTATGTCTCATGGTTTTATCTTTCTGATTAATAACAAAGCGACTTTTATTTTCACGTTGTCTCATGAGCACAACATGCATAATATCTATTTATTTTGATCTTATTGCCTGAAACGATGCTTAAAGCTTGGGGGATCTCCTGCGTGATTTCTCCTCTTTCTGTTATTAGGTTTCAACTTCAATGTGTTTCTATCTTCATATTAGGTTCATCGAATTGAACTGGCAGGCTATTATTTACTTCCCGGTTTATCTAAGTTTTTTTGTTTATGAATGATTTATTAAATATAGAAAATGAATTTGAACGATGGTTTGGGTACTATATTTGTTTGTAAGCAAAAGAGATGTTTGTGTAGAACATGGCAGTTGTACTTTGCTAGAGCCCTGTCCACTTTGTTGTGTGTTTCATGTACTTCATTTTTGTTCTTTGCTTAGCTATTGAAATAATAAAATAAGATCAAAATGAGAAAAAAGGTTTCTTTTCGATTACAATATTTCCGCTCATATTTGATTTTGTGATAACTAATGTTCTCCGCAACCATAATTTTCCTCATTAATTTTTATTCTTATCTCACTAATCAAATTTTGATATTGTTTTAGAATTATTTAGAAATTGAGCTTTCATGCAACACTCTAGGAGTTTGAGGTGTTGAACTTGGAGTAGAAGAGTTAGGATTGAGTTTGAAAATGAGAGTGGTGGGGGGAAGAAAAATTCAACTGTAGCATGTTAAGGCAGAGAAGAGGGAGTTACCGAGGGTAATGATCGAATTGAGGAGGGTGTTGAAAGACGCGAAAGCAAAACTGGAGCAGTTAAAGAGAGAGAAGTGAGAGATGATGAGGATATTAATAAAAATGGAGAGGTTATTGAAGGACATGGAAGTGTACTGAAGCATGTGAAGGCATACAAGGGGGGAGATGAGCATATTAATGGAATTGGAGATGAGTTTTGGTTTTAGCGAACTTATTATAACTAGCCTTGAGGAAGATGAGTTGGCAAAACATAGGAAGAGGATTGAGGAGTTGAAGAGCGAGTTGACAAAAACCCTAATTGGAAGAGAAATTGAGGGTCAGAGAGAAGGTCCATCAAAGTAGCAGAAATGGAGTTGCAGAAGGAGGATTAGAAAGTGAATGTTTGGTTGAAACATATGCTTCTTGAGATTGAAGATAGAGTAGATAAAAATTTGGTCGTTCAATGGAGAGTGGTCGCTATTGGATCATTAGGTTTATAGTTTTTGCAGCTACCACAACCTATTTCTATCTTAAAACGAGTAGTCATTGATTGATTTAATGAAGTAGGTTGATTCTTTATTCAACCTACTGGAACTGATAGATAAGGACTGTCTAATTTTGCGTCATATTACTTTGATCGAGTCTATTAGTATATTGGAGGTAACCCAATTTACTTTGATCGTTTGCTCTCAAGTTTTGATGGTCCACTCTTAGCCGAGTTGTAAGTATATAGTTGACTTGAACCTACAACTATCCATTTCTTTTTTATTAGTGGCATATTGCCCCCAAAATGAGAGAATTGAACCATTTACGTAGGATTGTGAGGTTTTAGATTCAGTTTCAAACTATCTATGGGCCGTGTGGGAATTCTAGTGAGCTTTTATACTCTATCTTTCTTAACAATCAACTAACCAATAACATATTAACTGGGCTTAATTATCATTATGAAAATGAGATCAATCATACATTTTTATGTTTTATTTTCTCAAATGATGATGATATTTCTCTGAATGTTCGACCTATATATTCTTTCTTTATGTATCATCTCGATCGAAAGATTGCCAATAAAATTAAACAGGTTGATAGACTTTAACGTAACATAAAAAGTATAAAAAATAAAATATAAACATTCCGGCCAACGGGCCGGATTATAAGCTAGTAAATAAAAGCCAAATGAGAAAGCTTGAAGCCCCATTTCAAATTTACTGCATCCAGAGTGAAAGTAGGAAGGACGTTTTAGTCTTCACAATTCTTTTTTTTATTCATTAATAAGACACTTACTAGGATTCGAACCGTGACCACTTTAAAGAAAAGCAAAGATTATAACCAATCACACTAAGTACATTTGTTGTATCTTTTTAAATTAAAACATATAATCGCTGAGAGGAAAAAACCCTTCCTCCATTTAAAATTTCTTGCCCTTGTAGGAAGGGTAGAATAGAGAGTGTCGATTTTTTTCTTTTTCCTCTGTGGAACGGGCCAACTTACCGTACACATGCGGATTTAAACGGGTCCAGGAGTGTCAATTTTTTTCTTTAAGTCCTTTTATTTCTCCGTGGTGGTAAAATATATATGAAAAGGCAAAAAGAATACTCCTTTTTATTGCTAAAAAGAAAAAAATAACAATAAACTAATGCATGGATTCTAATGGGCTAACCGCTAATCATAAAATAAAAGTGTTGAATGGGTCTGACCTACACGTGATTTGGCCATCAAGTAAAACAAATGAACATCATGGGTTTGTCATTCTAAAACAAGCTATTTTCTCTAGCATAATATCTATTATGTTAGTGGCTAAAATATAATGTACTTTAAAGTTATTCAATGGTTCAACCTCGACAACCCAATTAGTCCAATTTTTATCATTTCAGATATATATATATTATGTAATTATTTGATATCATAATGATTAAATTATAGTTTATATTATAGGGAATCGTTTGGTATTTGTTAGTAAAAAACTAAACAGAAAGATCTATTTGGTTATTTTTAACATTAAAACGATCCTAAACATTTTCAGTTTCCTTTCGAAATTGTATAGTTTTATTCCCGAATCAGTGATGTGCAAATGGTGAATTGCAGTCATCTCTTTTCTTTCTTTATTTTTTATTTTCAAATAGAAAATTTAAAAGTAAAGAATAATTAGAGTTTGGCATGGGTCGGTCAAACAGGCTGAATTTCAAGTTTTGGTCCGTTTTGATCAAGTCTAATTTATAATCACATGGTTCCCTGATACCCGATAAAAATCTCAATCCAAACCTGTTTGGCAGGTGAGTTCGTGTTTACCACCATTTTCTAGGGATATAGGAACGGTGGTTCCTATCCCAAATCGTGTTGTTCATTCTTGATCTCTTTAGATTTTATCATGGCTTGGCAAAAAACCAGAAAGCACAATGATGACAAGATGAAAGTTTTATAAAGAAAATTAATCGGCCAACCGGCTGAGTAAAAGCTAGCAACGATTGTGAGATGCTCATTTCCCGAAAACCGACGGGATAGGCGTTTTTTACTCGATTTTCTGGAATTCGGTTTCTATAAAACTTACTCCACCTCATCATATTACCAGAAACAATATTGTTTGACAAGGTAACAGGTACTTGATTTTGGTTCATAAGGCTGATTTTTGATTCGTTGCATCATTCATGTCTCTTTCCTACTAAAATTCACTATTTTTATCACGTGTTTCCCAAAAAAAAAACTATACAACAATAAGCTATACACTCCATTACATTATCAAATTTCATACTTCACCTTCCTCCTGCCAATGACCGGGGCCTAGGCTAGTATTTTGAGATTAGAAGATTATTATGCAAATTATTAGAAATATTGGCTAAAGCTCTCCACCTCCTCAGTCAGTCGTGAATGGAGATGTGGGCTAATCATGAAAGGAGGGGCCAACCTAGGTTGACCGAACCACTAGATATTGGGCCTGTATTAATTGGCCCAAACCTACCAAGCCCATATAAGACCAAGAAGCCGTTCGGACGCACGACCTCAAATCAATTTTCCGATCCGTATTTGCCGCCAAACGCTCTCACCATCGTTTGGGCAGCTGGAAGGAAACACTCTTCCTTAAACTATATGCTTTCTAATTCTCTTCATGAAACTTCATCCCTTCCATGCGCCATGTTTCTGCTCTTCTCCTTTGGAATCAGATCTCTACGGAGTTTGATTCAGAAAGCTAATGCGTCGCCTCTGCAGTATGGAAATGCTCTGAATTTTTACTGTATAATGATAAATTTTTGGTGTTCTTGATCGGTGGTCAATTGCTAGGAGCGCTAGGCCATATCAGACTGTTCATCAACACGGTTTATATGTGGGTTTTGATCAGACCAGTTTCACGTCTTCGAATGACTTAATTGGGTCGATGCAGAGGACGACAGATGGTTGATGCACATAAACCGTTCGATAAAAGGACTGTTAGAACCCCTTTTGTCGTTGAACATTTATGGTTTCTGGGTTTCCCCTTTGATAATGAAGGCTGGTTGCTGGTGCTCTTGAGTCTTAATAATGGAAGTGGACCTCCGAGATAAAGAAAGGGAATCACCATGGCGAGGAAATCTCTCCCTGTTTCTCAAAATATCCATGTTATCTATAGGCTCTGCCTGAGAACCCATATATCATATGATGAATCGGAAACAATAAAAGAAAGTTTGCAAATTTCCTATAAAAAATAAAGCTGCTGCTTTCCAACACTTGTGATATACCTTAAATTTTTATCACATCATATTCATAATCTATATATGGTATTCAATATATTCTACATACTAGGAACATCTGCAGGCCCTGCAACCAAATCACCCACCAACAGCCATCCCCCATGAATTCACGCTCGCACCATCCTGCAACGTCTCTTGAACAACATACCCATGATGATGTTGATGAAGTTGTTCGTGATTCTGATGATGATGGTGGTGATGGTGATGGTAATGATGCTGATGTTGTTGCTGTTCTTGTTCTTCCTGCTGATCATCAGCCTGTTGTTGCTGTAATTGTTGCTGACCGCAATGAAACTGCAACAACATTGGATCACTGTAAACATCCAGACACCCCACGGCCATCATGGCCGCCGAATCAATGTTGCTCTCCACCGTACTCTGCTGCTGCGGATCCTGCTGTTGTTGTTGATGCTCCTGTTGTTGGTGTTGCTGTTGGCAGATGGCGAGCTGATGCAGGACAAGCCCCAATTCAGCCTCGCCGTACTCGATCTGGCGCTGGAGCTCTCGCACGATCCTGTAACACCCGCCAACAGGGTCGCTGGCTCGAACGTCAGACTGGATTATGATTGCTCGCATCGCCTCGTCCTTCTCTGCTTTCGTCGAGAGATTCTCTATGATCTTGGTGATCTTCCTCACCCCAAACAGCTTGTGCGCATTCAGGAACTGGCGCTGGCGGTCGTGTGGGAAATAAGGGGCCAAGACGCAGTCAGGGGCGCACTTCCTGCGCTGGTACTTGCACGCTGCGCAAGCCGGGCTCGTCCCGTTGCTGCTGCTGCTGTTGTTGTTGTTGTTGCCGCCGACGATTCTGTTCTTGATGACGTTGGTTTTGTTGTAGCTGGTGTTGCTTGTGGCTAGGGAAATGGTGGTGGTGGTGGTGGTGGTGTTATTGGTGGTGTGGGTGGTAATGCTCATTATTATTGTTATGGTGATGGAAGGTGATGATAGGGGGAGAGTTTTTTTGGGCAGCCGCGGTGCCGGCGGGTGAGGTTGTGCCGGGGAGAAGTTTTTGGCTTTCTGGTTTTCCGTGTTTGAATGGAAACGAGGGGCAAAAGGGAAATGGGAGATGAGGAGAAATGGGAGGAGACCAAGGACACATAAAAGAGGTAACGGATTTTTCTGTAGGGAGGCTATTTTTAGGCAATTGGGGGGTTTTTGGAAGAGAAAGGAAGGCCTAATTGTGGAGAGAAAATGGTCATAGGTAGAGAGAGAAAGTGAGAGTGGAGAGAGAGAGTTAAGTAACGATTAATGGTGGTGATAGTTTTTGAGGGTTTTGGGATGGGATTAGGTGCTAACCCTTATAGGGGTTAGCACCGTGATAACTATCAAAAATCACTACGGATTATTATAAAATCAATACAACATCTAAGCTAAATCACTACTAATTCAAACTAGTAGTAGTTTTTCCCTTGGTTAGGACGGTGATAACTATTGTACAAATAGCACCGTAACCGTTTTGGATCAGACTGGATCCGACGGTGAGATTACAATGACAGCTGTATCTTAATTGTACTGTATTAGTTATCGGGAATAAAGATTTAGTTTTTCTTTTTCTTTTTTTAATTGTCACTTGTTTAACAGGTCTTGTTATGATGGAATTTTGTTTTTGAAAGAGGTCAAAAGGGATAACATTGGTTTAATTAACAAAGAAATAAAAATTGATTAGTTGGGGTTGGTTTTGGATTATGAATTACTGTTGAGTAGAATAACTAATTACATGGCTGGCATAATTCATTTGGTTATTTACATGTAGAATTAAGCAAAAGATTGGGATATTATTAATTTGTTTTTTTTAGGGTGTTTGAGGTTTTGCTATAATTAGTAAATACTCTCGGTCAATATAACTAAATTAGACCATGTTTGATCCATTAAAATTAATTATACATATTTACATACTCTTGAAAACTATTTTAGCACGTGTTGCTTATATTTGCATGTTATACTCTTCTAATCCATGGTAACCAATCATTAAGGTTGTAATGAGTCTTTATTTAGAATTTACTAGAACAACAAAACATTAAGTTCACACCAGACCGAATCAATATTAGAATTGATTCAGACAAAGATCGAAATGTGACATTTTATTCCAATGCTCAAATTTTCTCAAATTTTCTTCAATTTCTATGACTCTTATATCAATCCAACCTAATACCAGATCGGACCAAATAATGCCCACACCCTTACCAATCACTCGATCAAACCAAAAGAGAGAATCATGTGCCCAGAGTTCATTCTTCACAAACACTGGTTTTTATACATCAATTCTATCTGCCTGTAATAGACTCTTATAGCAGTCTTCTCTTATGATTTTGGCAAAACTAGATTTCCCTATTCGATAATATGAGTCGATGCCAATCATTGTCAAACGAGCATCCATCAACATCAGTGACTACCAGAACATGTATAATAATGTAGAATGTCATCTACTTCTTGAGCAAAGCTACAAGTTACCGTCACTACACACGAAAATGAAAGTTCTACAGGATTTCATCTACGCTCTACATTTCCATATAGTCAGAACTCCTGTTTACTACTAACCGAAACAAACTGATCCCTGGTGGCTCTTTAACCGTTGTAAGGGAATAGGAAACACAACTGCCTTCCTCCTTTGGTTGGACACTAGGTTAGTTCATGGAAAAATGCTCATCTTATGGCATCACCTGCAAATCAAACCTAAAGAGTGAGAAAATGGAAGAGCCATTGACAACAGGGAAGAGATTATATATCGTTCACCATTCCGCAGGCAGCATTTGGTTCAAGAAATTGGAGGCAACCATCATTCATTCATTCTTCAATACATCATCCTAAAGCATCTCATTTCCAAAAATGAACAAAATGTTCCATCTCGTACCTTTGTTTGTTTGGTATCAGCGGGTACGAAGCAGTCACGGATCAGAATTGATAAGGTCTTCAACAGAGTTTTTGTAGTTGCCAATCAAGTCGCTGGTAATCAACTATCAAGATTAGAACAGGTCTCCTCCCAAGCGTTAAGTATAGAGACCTAAACAGGGAGGCTCGAAGATAATGTCACATTCCAAACCTACCTTCGTTGATTAAGCAACTGCTCAGTTTCTTCCAGCTTTTTCTTCTGTCCTTCAACAGTCTGCATTCCAAACATCCGAACAATATATGAACAAAAACTCTCAAAGTCAAGAAACTCTTAACAATTAAAACAACTCCTGTGATTTGTCCATCGAGAACAAATGAAACTAGGTTACTTGAACATTTGACAAAACCCTAAACCAACAACCAATTCATCTATTAGTTCTGCAAGAAAACTTGTTCTAGCTCTAAAATGAGTCCATTCATCAATGATGGATCCAAGTTACAAAAATCAACACGATCACCAAAGAACTATCTCGTACAACAAGGTTCAAGATTCAAAAGAAGTTCCACGGAATTAGTAATTACCATAGACTTGGAGCTGATTGAGCTGGATATGGAGTTCAACAGCTGCTGGCACTTCTCAAAGTGAATGTTCAACTCGTTAACCTGATCTTCCCCATAGCAAAGATCACACTAGTAAATAAACACAGCAGAACATCAAAATCTGCAACAGAGAGAGAGAAGGAAACAAACCAAAGCATCAGAGTGCTGATCTCGAGTCCCATTCTCAATAGCATCAGCCAATTTCTCCACCAGCTGCAAAGACAGCAACGAAGTCCTTTAACTTTTCCCTGAAAACAAATGAAACCCAACTGACCCGATAAAACCCAAGACGTTACAGGGGAAAGGCGGAAATGGGATGCCAGCGATTGCTGCGGCGGAGGCTGCGGCGGGGTCTGCTGTTGAATCAAACGCTGCGGCGGCGACTGCAGCGGCTGAAACTGTTGTTGTGATGGTGGTGGCTGCTGGACTAATTGTTGCGGCGATTGCTGCTGAAATTGTTGTTGATTGAATGGCTGCTGGACTAATTGTTGCGGCGACTGCTGCTGAAACTGATTGAATTGCTGTTGCTGCGGCGGCGGTGGCGTAGGTTGCTGATGGAGGAAGTACTGGTCTTGATTCGAATGCGCGGGGGAATTCGCGTGAGCAGTCATGTTTGGGATCATCGTCCACCCTCCCCCTCCTCCCATTCCTCCACCGAATTGATCCATGCTTCTCTCTTTCGCTGTTTCTGAGATGCTATATTGGTTTTCCCGGCGAAGAACCTGGGGAAATTTTGGGGGTAAGGAGCAGGCAGCAGGGAGAAGATCAGAAGAAGAAAAAGAAACAGTTCGATAGCAAGAGAGACACCGTTTTAGTGAGGTGTTCGAATTGTCGCCTGCCGGTTGGTAAACTTTTTATGTAGTCACTATTGTTTTACACAATTACGAATTTAATCTTCGTATCTCGTATATATTAATAATTTGCATAGTTACCGGTAAGTTACGTATAAAATAAGTACAAGAATTTTACTTCCTATCTAAACTAATGATGTGCCTAATAGTACTTCAATGGACATTAAAAATGAAATACAGGTTTTATACATGATTAGTACGTAAGCAATCAAATAGATGGGAAATAATATGGAAACAAAAATTTTAAACACATAAAATATATACATCCATATATACATGTATTAAACGAAATCCTTACTAACTATGGCTATTTCGGTAAGAAAATGTGTGTTCAACTTTGAGTATATACGACTTAACTAAATAGTGTTTCATTCCACTAGTCATGTCAATTCTGTGTAGCTAAATAAGGTAATACCTATCCTGTAAGTAGCATTGGACAGTAGGGGTGGCAGTTCGGTTATTTTGGTTATAACCGATAATCGATCAGCCGGTTATCGGTTAACCGAAATACCCACCCCTCTACCGAAAACCGACCCAAATAGGCTTCGGTTTCTCGGTTATCTCGGTTACCGGTTAACCGAACCACTTTTAAGACCAAAAACCATTTCGTCCAGTCTCCGATAACCGACCAAAGTTCAGTTACTTCGGTTACCGGTTAGTGGATAACCGACCGGTTATCGGTTTAACCGACCGGTGAACCGGTAACCGGTAACCGAACGGCCACCCCTGATATGAATTTTGATTTTATTTTATATTTGGACATTCTGCTTGTTTTTTATCCATTCTATCACAATTATTTTTAATATTTAACTCATGTTTATGTTATTTTTACTTGGCCACAAAATAAATTGTTATAACTTAATGACTATAACTCACTACAAGCCTCCATTTATTAAGTAAATTATATTTAGGATCATTTGATTAGAAGTCTTTTTCTCTTGTGCTTTCATGTAAAAATCAAGAAAAAAATAATCAAAATAAATCATTGAAAGAAGACTCTCTCTTTCCCTTTATCTCTCTTTCGTTCTCTAAAGGAAAACCCTTCACGATATCGATGGCAGCCGTCACCGACGGTGCGGCTGCTGTCGGTGACGGTCGTTCATGGGTTTCATTATTTGGGGTTCCGGAGGATAATCGCTTGGAGTACTACGAGTCTGAGTATGTGAATGGCTCGTTAAGGATCCCTCGGGAGGTGATTGAGGAAGGTGCTAAGAGGTGGGAGCACAGCCTTGTCAGCCAGTTCATTGGTAAGCCAGCTTCACTCTATTCGATTCGTTACAGGGCGAACTGGATATGGGGCAAGAATGGTGAAAATAGGGTCTCGTGGATAGGAAAGAAGTTGCTTCTGTTTCAATTTCCGAACGCTGAGATCTGTTAGTGGGTGTTTGAGAATGGTCCTTGGCACCATCGTGAGAATCTTGAGTTTTTGCGTCGCTGGGAACCAGGAATTAGCCCTCTAGCCATTGATAACACAGTGTTGCCTATCTGGGTTCGTTTGTCTAACCTTCCATCTAAGCTTACTTCTAAGGTTGGGCTGGGTAGGGTTGCGAGCTCTCTGGGAAGGCCACTGTGTAGGGATAATTCAACAAGATCTGGAAGGAAGGTGGGGTTTGTTCACATCTGTGTTGAGGTTAGGGCTTTAGATAAAAGGGTTTCGAAGCTGAATATTACCCCAGATGGGTTGCCTGAAATCTTTGTGGATGTGGAGTATTGCAATTAGCCACAAGTCTGTGTGAAGTGTGGATGTTTTGGACATGATTGTGCTGCTCCTCGTGGACCTAGTAAGCAGGTCTGGAAGCCTCGAGTTCCAGTTATTGGTGAGATTGTTCCTACGAACACAGAATTAGCAGTCGCTGCTGACAAAAGTGTGAGGGTGGACATTGCTGAAGGTCAGGTGGAGACAATTGGAGTGGTAAGGCAGGTGGAAGTTACTCCTCCACCAGAAGCTGGGTTAATTGATGAGGAAGGTTTTACATTGGTGGTTAATCGTCGGCAGAAAACTAAAGCTGGGTCATCAGGTGTGAATCAGGGGTTTAGGCGGACCTTGTTGGATGATAAATCATTTCCTCGGTTGCAGCAAAGCTGTTCAAGCAGTAAGTTTGAAGCTCCTCCCCCAAGAGGTCGTGGAAGGGGGAAGAAGCAGGGTAAATGAACATTCTGAGCTGGAATGTCAGGGGCTTTAATGCTCCTGATAAGCACTTAGCTGTGTTAAAACAGTTAAGGAAATTTAAAGTAGATACAGTTGGTTTGTTGGAAACTCGAGTATTAGTAGAAAATAGTAAAAAAATAATATAGGGTGTTTTTTCGGATTGGCAGCATTTGGATAACTATACTAAATCTAAGTCTGGGAGAGTTTGGATTTTCTGGAAATCTGGATTGAAAATCACACGCATGGAAGAAGGAGAACACTATTTGAAGATATTGGTTGCTGAGCAATCCCCCTTCATTGTGTTGTTTGTTTACAATCCTAATAAGGAAGTGGAGAGGAAGATTCTGTATAGAGAACTGGTTACGCTTAAAGAAGATTCTATTCCTATGATCATAATGGGACATTTTAATGCCATCAGCGAAGTAAATGAAGCCTCTAATGTGGAGCAAGTTACTACTAGTATGCTGGATTTTCAGGAATGGTTGAAGGATATGGAGGTTGTGGACCACAAGGTTGCAGGAACATGGTTTACGTGGTTGAACAAGCAGAAGGGTAATCCGATTGCACGTAGGATTGACAGAATCTTAATGAATGAAGCCTGGCTCTACAGTTTCCCCTGTTAGTTCAGCGAGCACAATCCTCTTGGTATTTCATATCACTGTGGTTTGTTGTTGCATACTGCTCCTCAATTATGTTCCCTGTCTAAGCCGTTTAAATACTTCTTATTCTGGCAAGCACATCCTCAGTATTTATCTATTATTCAAGAGGCATGGAAGAAGTCATTTAGTGGCTATCCACATTTTGTTTTCTATAGTAAGTTGGGTCAGGTAAAGTCTGGTTTAAAGAAGCTTAATAGAGAGGTCTATTCAGAAATATCTGGTCGAGTTTGTGAGACCGAAGCTGCCCTTGAAATTGCTCAGTGTGCTGTTTTGAAAGATCTTTCTCCACATCTTGTTGAGGAAGAACAGAGGGCAAATTTTGCTTGTCAAGAGTTGAGAAAGGCTGAGGAGTTGTTTTTTAAACAGAAATCTCGAATTCACCATATACAAGAAGGGGACTCTAATACTTCTTTCTTTCACAAGTCTGTTAAAATCAGAAATCAGAAGCAGCAGATAACAAGATTGTATGACTCTCAAAATAACATGGTGATTGATGTGCTAGGGATAGGGTCAATTGCGGTGGATTTCTATTCGAAACTTATTGGTTCAGTGGATCCAAATGTTCAGCAGCTTCCAGTAGAATATTTTCAAGGTCTCATCCAACATAGATTGAGTACTGAGGATGGAGAAGAACTTATGCTGGGGATTATAAGGATGGAAATACGGAAAGTGTTTTCTGAAATGGGGAAGGGTAAAGCACCTGGGCCTGATGGTTTTCCAGTGGAATTCTACAATGCTCATTGGGATATTATTGGGAAAGATGTTGAAGAGGTAATCTTGAAATTCTTATCTACTGGTCACTTAGCTTCCACTGTGAATTCAACCATATTTGCTCTAGTTGCTAAGATTCCTAGTGCTGAACACATGAAAGACTATAGACCTATTTCCTGCTGCAATGTTCTGTACAAAGGAATTTCTAAGTTGTTAGCAAATAGGTTGGCAAGAGTTTTACCTAAACTGATTAGCAAATCTCAGTCTGCTTTTGTGAAAGGGAGGGCCATTAGTGATAATATCTTATTGGTTTCTGAGTTAGTGAGGGATTACCATAAAAAGGTAATTACTCCCAAATGTGTTGTAAAGATTGATCTCATGAAGGCGTTTGACTCAGTGGATTGGGAATTTTTGTTCAAGGTGATGACTGCTATGAATTTTTCGGATGGTTATATGAAATTGATTAGAGCATGTATTACTACTCCTTTGATTAGAGTGGCTGTGAATGGTGGATTGTGTGGAAGAATCTCGGCTAGAAAAGGTCTCGGGCAAGGGGACCCTCTGTCCCCCTATCTGTTTGTCATTGCTATGGAATTTCTGGTTTGTATAGTAAAGAAGGATGTGGTTGACAATCAAATACCCTTCCATCCAAGGTGCAAACCACTTCATATAACTCATGTATGTTTTGCTGATGACTTGGTGATGTTTACCAATGGTTCCATTCGAGGAGTTGCTGGAATTAGACATTTGATGGATAAGTTCTATTCTGTTTCTGGGCTAAGATGCAACGCTGCCAAATGCCAACTGTTTTGTGCTGGGATCCCACAAGAGGAGAAAGAAAGTATTTCAGCATACTTTGAGTTTCCACTTGGGACTTTACCTGTGAAGTATTTAGGAGTTCCCTTGCTTACGGGTAAGCTCTCTCGTAGAGATTGTCAAGTCTTAATTGATCGAATAACCCAGAAATTGAGGAGCTGGAGAACTAAATCACTTAGCTATGCTGGAAGGATTCAGCTGGTATCCTCGGTCATTACTGGTACTTTGCAATATTGGCTAAATCTGTTTTTGCTGCCTCAATATGTGATTAAAGAAGTGGAGAAACTCTATAATGTGTTTCTCTGGAATTCTGGTGAGGATGGTACAAGGAAGAAAGCTGTAATGGCTTGGGAGTTATTGGCAAAACCAAAACTGGAAGGTGGATTGGGTATAAGGAATTTTGGAATATGGAATAAGGCTTGTGTTTTAAGACACATTTGGGACATACTAACTAATGGGGGCTCTGTCTGGGTTGCTTGGGTAACTTGGTATCGTTTGAAGCAGTAGAGCATTTGGGATGTTGCTCCTAGTTCTGCAGGGATGTGGATCTGGAGAAGAATTTTGAAGTGCAGAAACTTGGTTGCACAGTTTATTTATGGAATGGCACCTGCTGTTCTGTGGCAGCGAGAAAAGATGTAGAGGTACTCAATTTCTAGAGTATGGCATGATATTAGGCAGTATGATCCTGAGTTGCCTTGGACAAGACTAATTTGGGGAAAAGAGATAATACCTCGACATGGTTTTATAGTGTGGCTTGCTATGCAGGATCGGTTGACAACTCAAGACAAGCTATTGAGATGGGGGAAATCAGTATCTGGACTCTGTTTATTATGTTCAGGTGGAATAGAGAGTAGAATTCATTTACCGAGGCAATGCTCGTACACTGACTTTGTGCTGAAGAAGTGTTTAAGATTGTATGCTCCGCCTCCTTTTTTGCGGTGGGATTAAATGGTTGATTGGTGTGTGCAGAATTGAGGTGGAGGGAACTCTGCTAAATCGAAAGTGTGTCGACTGTTTTGGTGTGTTGTGCTCAGCTGGGTTTGGCGTGAACGATGCTCACGTTTGTATGGAGATAGGCCTGCTCGATCACCATTGGAGATATGTAGTGTTGTGCGTGGTGAGGTTACATGTAGGGTGAATGGAGATCCGGAATTCCAGAAAATTCTTGTCTTCATTGATGTTGTAGATAGTTAGAAGTTTTACTTACTTATAGTTATAGCTTTACAGCTTTTTTGTATTTGACAGTTTTTTTAGAGGTTTTTGCCTGAGCTTAATGAAATTTAGATTCCCATCTAAAAAAATCAAGAAAATATATATTTTTCAACCAAATGTAAATATGGAATAATATGTTCACTTTTTTTTTTTTTTAATATTTTGATGTTTAGTGACCATGGTTGAAGTTATTTCCAACGAAGATGGTGGCAGGGCCTGGTAGGAAGCATATACCAAAGAAAGTGCCATTTTTTTCTCATAAATTTCTGTGTAGCAGAAGAAACCCAACAGAGACCATTGGGTAAATAAACGCAAGCCCTCATTTTGAGCTCGTACAAACAAGAAAAAGGAGGGAGACGAACAGAGGGCTCTCATTCTCGTTCTCTTATATACACTCTCCGTCTCTCTCTCTCCCTCTCGATCCCAGGCAAAATTTTCTCTTTTCCCGCTTCTGCAGATTTCCAGGAGAAAGAAATTAAAGTCAATCACCCAGAGAAGAGATTTCTGTCTTTTTTTGGAGGATTTGTTTCAGAAGGTTAGGTTTCAATTCCATTTCGTTCTTCATCTTTTTAGCGTTTGGTTTGTTGAGGCTGATTGCATTTTGAACTTAGTAAAGAACACAGCTTTGATTTCTCTAGAGGGCCATAACTTCACAACCTTTTCGATAAGCGTTCTTAGTAAGTGCTTCGAAATTGGGGGAGACGGGGAAAATAGCTTTCTGCGTTCAGTTAGGTGTATGAAGGTAATTGACTAAGAAGTTCCTTTCTTATGCTTATCTTGATCTTGGTTAGGTTTGTATATCTTGTCAGAATCGTTTGTTCACCTAGGCTATCTAAATGATTATCAGTTGTATTTTGCATACATTATTGAGCAAGCACTTGGGTTGCTGCTTCATGCAATGTGACTTCGTGGAATCTGTATCGAATCTGAGGCCGAGTTTTGTTATTCTGTTGGTAGCGTGAAGGATTGCAAATGTTGTTGCTTTTCCAATTGGCAGTTGTTTGGTTAAGATGTGATGGAATTGTTAGCAAATGAATGCGGCACATAATGGGCAGCCCTGATCTTTATAGCTTTGGCTGCATTATGGTAGCTACAGAAATTTTGTTTCATACCTTACTCAAGAAGGAGTGGTTAATACTGTAGCTTGCTTAAAACATGGTATGTTGATAGTTAAGACCATATAAAGCAAACTGACATCTGAGATGGTTTGCATCTTTGACATCGTTATGCTACGTTGAAATTTACATTCTGCAGTAGCACTATACAGATTTTCTTACTTTTCTGGCATAGGAGGGTCTAGGTTATTCTGTCTGTTTGTAGCTTATAGCTGGGAGAACCATTTTTCAGTTTTATCTTCTGCAACTTAGATAACTGAAAGATCTCATAGACCTTTGGAAGAGTAGCTTTTTTCTTCTTCTTCATTTGTTCCATTAGAAATACTTTTCAACTTCACCTTTTGAGTCTTATAAGGTGCATGGTACCTCCCTGGAATTTCATGTATCATCCGACATGTTACATTGCTCAAATCTTTCTAAGTTTGCATTACAACAGTTACGAAACTTTTTATCCAAATCACGATCATAGAAATATTGGACATGCCCGAATTATGGTAAGAGATGCACATACAAGGCTCGTGGTATCACAGATGGGGGTAGCGAACGATTGAATTTTCTGCCTGCTGCTTTATGTTACTAACTGTGGAACATCCGATGTTGCAGATAGAGAAAATGTCAATAAAGCCAACGGTTGCATTCAGGGCTGTACTTGTTGGAGGAATAGCAGTGTTCACAAAAGTAGCTGGTGCAATGAAGGCAGCCGGTGGTGCAAAGCTTGGTGCTGCTGCAACGGCCATGACCATGGCAGCTTCAGCAGCTATGTCTAGTTCAAAGAAGGAAGAGTCTGAGCCTTCCAAATGATCTTTTTATTTGTGGTTTGTAATTTTCATCCAGAGTCAGCAGAATGTAGCAGGATTTCACCTTGTAGAACTATGTATCAGCCATAGAGAATGTTAACATTTCTCATTATGCAGACTAAATACTTCGCCTCTCTTGGCGGTGTTTCTGACGTGCTATGTTAATTTTTGTCCCTCTCATCTATTCCTATGAAATGATGGTTTCATCAGTTTTTGCTCTTTTGGCTCGTGAAAAGGGTATGTGTCTGACTTGGTTGCTTGGGGACAAGCAAACGGCTAAGTGTGGGGCGATTTGATGACTCGATATTTGCGCATGTTTTCCCCTTTGTTTCTTGATTGTTTGAGCTTTAATTATCGCGTCTTTGGCCTATTTTATGCTAGGTTGTGTTCATTTGTCACATTTCAAGTCCTAACAGATAAACTTGACTCACTCTTACTGTCACTCTAGAAAATGATCAAGTGTAACCACCTCCTAAAGCGTAGTATAGCGGGTTTGGGTTTTAATGTCAACCCGGGTCCTAGATGTGATGACTACTCCGTGAGTTCTTATTTATTTAGCAGTGAAACTTTAGTGAAGGTCAAAGCAAGGCAAACAAGCAAAGCAAGTAAAAAGGTTGTTCAAGTCGAGAGAGGTCACCCGAATATGATTCCCCCTAGACTGCAGTTAAGCCGGATTGTAATTTACCAAGTTCAGGTTCAAAGATAGTTATACTGCGGAAGGTTCTAAAACAATCTGAAGTCTCGACTAAAGGTATCCAGACCCTCTCAATCTTATGCCTGAATGCTTTGATTTCAGCAGAGATGTGATTTTGTTTATGAAAGTTTGGCCAAAGATCTTGTTGCCTTTATGATACATTGCCCTCATGGTTAAAGAAAAGATTTGAATAACTGGCCAGCAAAAGCTTGCCTTGGAAACTGGGAACTGAACTCCAACCTTTACAAGTTACTACAAAGTATAAACACTGGTTTTTAAACCAAGACCTGTCTTCTTGCCACGCATTGTACTCATCTTCAACTCTGGATATTTGATCCCAGCTACTGAAATTGCATGCATGGCGATAGTCTTAGTTCGGTTGATTAGGGTGAGATCACCATTTGATCATCGGTTCAGTTTACAAGGGAGTTAAAGTACGTCCAATCTCTGCAAGTTTGGTTTCCTTGAACCACAGGTAAAGTCTTGATTATCAACTGAGTGTATCAAAAGTTCAGGGCTAGGAGATTCAAGCTCTAGTATCACCTGCACAAACCAGAATCCAGAATAAGAATTAAGCAAGGGGCAAACACTGGGTGTTCCAGTTTATCACATTAGCAACTGAATGAAGTGTCTTTAAGCTTTATGGGAAGCTTTATACCAGAACGTTCTCCCCGTGCTTAAGTACTGGAGCAGGGACATAGAGATTGCATTGTGGTCCAAAAGACTGCAAAGGAAGTGAAAGTCGAAAATTTCAGAAATCAAAGGATCGACAAACACTATGCGCAAAAGGAAAGTCATGATCTTTACCGGCCAGTATCTTCCAATATTGAAGTCATTAACAAAGGCAACTCCTTTCCCCCAGCCTCTGAATGATATGTATGTATCTGAGATTGGGTTAGCTTTATCAACAGAGAAACTGCCAGCATAGAAGGTCGGTTCGACTGAGATAACTCCTGCCAAAGGATGAAAGGATTATTTGCAATTGGGTATCCTCTTCATATGGGGTTGGATGGAAGAGAAAACTTATGCGTTCATATGGTAGGGAATAACCTACTTGACGTATGTTTCGCCTTTTTTCCTGTGGATACTGTGAGTGCACTAGCCTGTGAGACCCGGGAAATGGGATTAACTTTCAGCATTTCATTCAGGTTTATTTTCGGCTCTTCATTCAGGTTATGCAGAGGTACTGATATCATTCTCCATCCATGCAAAGCCTTTCCATCTATATATACAGAAGAAAGAATTCCCTGCAAACATAGGGAAGTAAACCCAGTTTGCATATTTGGCATTTAAAGAGAACCCATTAGTCAAAAAGATTGACATCAGCAGGTACCTTTCTGTCAAAGGTGTATTGTCCATAGTTTACACGGCCCATATTTTCGACCTGTAGATAACACAAACTATATCAGGCATATGGAAGCTGACTGTTCCAGTATTCAAAAAAGGAATATAGACCGCAAAAGGCTAGACAACTAAATTGAAATTGAGTTATTAGAGTCCAACCCATGACGATATTATCCTGAAAACAAATTCAAATGCACTAGAAGATTTGGTGGTATTTCAACGGTTAGTGAAGTACCAAAATAAATAAGCTGGTATTGGAAGTGCATTTTGCATTCGGAAGGCCAAGTTGTTTATTTGACCACCTTTCAACAGCACCAATATATGTCGGGCGCCCTTTGTTATTTCCAGTAGCACAAGATGTAAACACCTGAGCTCTGTCATGAACCTGCAACCCAAAGATTTAATGCTTCAAGCAATATGTCAACTAATCTAGGGGGGTGGGTAATCTTTACTATTCTTATACCTCTGGTATGTACAAGGAGTTCCCTTTGACCTTGGAAGAATAGCTAGAGATGTATACCACGAAACCAAACATCTGAAAGAAGGCCGTACAACTAATCATTACGGGAACAGATAAGCTTGACGAGTAGGGCAATTAAATTCAAAAAATACAGAAACTAATGACGAAACCTGTCCCAGTGACTCCATGGGGAGTGGGTCTACTGATTCAACTGCTTCAATAGATTTTTCTAGATCGAGTAAGTCAAACAGTGAGCTGGTTTTGTGCAAGTTAATAGGTCCATATCCTATTTTTCGAATATTGGCAGGAACTTGGGGAAGAGATGTTGCACTGTGAAGGCTTATGACCTTCCTCAAAGCTGAAGAACATCGAAGAAGAAAATATCATTCTATCAGCTCATTGTGAAAAGGAAGGAAAGGTGTGAAAAACCTGTGGTGGCAAAAACACTCAAGTACAAGTTTCAGTAGCAGAAATAAAGATACCAGTAAACTTAGCGCCGTCAACATCTCCAGATTCACTGATTGGCGCATCCTTGAAATGCCAATAAGTTTGGTGAATACATTCCATTTTAAAATGTTTAATGCGAAAATATAAGAGATTAGTGAACTTTTCACTCACATAATCATAGGAAGTGAGGTCTGGCTTGTAATCGGACTCATCCGTACCAGTATTTGCTCCACTGTAAAATCCAAAGTTTGTTCCACCATGTGCCATCTGCAGTTAAAGAACAAGATGTAAAGGACCCCGTAGCCAACATACAGCAACTTTTGATCGGGATTAAGTATGAGAAGAAAATTGAGAACGTACGTAGAGTACAGCAGAACCATTACGTGATAGTATCTTTTCCAGAGCTGATGCAGTAGAGTCCGCATCAGTTGTTGCAATCTTTTCACCCCAATGTGTTAGCCAGCCAGTATAGAACTCCCTGGAAATCAAGAGCGCAATCAGCAGCTTTAAACTGCTGAGTAATGATTGTGATGGAACTTAGGCAATTGCTTACGTGGAGAGTGGTGGTGATTTTCCTGGTTCGTTAAACTCTTTCTGCAATTTGAATATAGGCCAAGGATCATCACCAGTGGTGAAGTCAACAGCTGCAGTTTGGAATATAGGTTAGTTGTGGAAAAATACATTTCATGGATTACATTTACACCTGCAGAAGAGATTCTCCAAAATTTTCACTGACCTGAGAAAACAGCACCTCCACGAATGGTTCCTTTCTGAAGGTTTTCCCTAGCACCTCCATCAGTGGTATACCTGACATAGTAATTTATGGTCATGAGAGGGAGGGAAGAAACAGTTCTCATGCCAAAGTCATGAGAAACATTGTCCAAAAGTGAAGAAACTTTTAAAGCAAAGGAACTCCTCAAGTTGTTTGGGACTATGATTAGAAGACGGGTCAAAACATTGGAAGAGAAGAATGATAAATGAGGCACAGGCGATCTGTAAGAGCAGACATTTTCATAAGATCCAACAAGTGGACCATGATATAGAGAAACACTTTTATTCCTCAACCACATAAATAGGGAGGGCTAAATGCATGAACACATGATAGAGACATAGACCTCTTACAAGATTATGCTGTCTCCAAGATGTCTTCGGGCCAATTGTACTAAGTGATGCAGATAATTTTGGTCATCCCCATAAGAACCGAATTCGTTTTCTATCTGTCAAGATAGTGTGTTTTAGTTGACGATTAAGGAGGATTAGTATAGACGGTAAAATATAAGTAAGAAACATCATTTATTCTTCAGGAGGATGGGCGGAGATGTGGTTGAAAAGATCAATCTAATAGCTCCTACTATTTAGGCTTGCGTTTTTAGAGGGAACAACTTTACGGTACATCAACCAAATATAATTTGTAATGAAAACTTACATACCTGAACCATAATAATCGGACCACCATTATTGTAAAGTAAGGGTGCTACCTTAGGAAGCAGGGTTCCCCACCATTTATCAACCTACAGTAATTTAAACCGCAATATTTTTATAAGAAAATTGTTGTTATAAACTTACAATCAACAACTATTGAGTCCAAAAAGCATTAGCATAGATAGGCCGTCTTCCAAAAGCCTACCATCAGCTACTGAACAAACGAAGATAACCAACATCATCCGACTACCTTGGGCATGCATATCAAAGATGCCAATAAATCGATTAGTTCTAAAATGCCAATTTCCTCCAACATACCAATCGGAGATAAGCAGGGTCCGATGATCTCAGCTTGAGAGGTGGTTCAGTGGCTAGTAACCAAGCAGGGAATCCCCCCAAATCCCATTCTGCAGCAAGACAATAATGCTGTACACATTCCTTGGCTGGCAATATTGGATTCATTCAAGGACATATACTTGAGTAAAGAAAGCTAACCTCCACATATATAAGGACCGGCTCGAAGCAGAACAAGTAAATCCAACTTCTGACACAACTTCAGGAACGACACAAGATCAGCTATGCCTTCAAAACTGAGCTTCCCAGGTTGCGGTTCATGAAGATTCCACGGAACGTACGTTTGAATCGTGTTCAATCCCAATGCCTTCACCTTGAGCAGTCTATCTTCCCAATACTTTGGCCAAAAAGATTCACTACCATTACTTCTAAAACAGACAACAAGATCACACTGCAATGAGAGAAAGCAGAAATGACGCATATATACCTCAGGAACTGTGCGGAAGTAATGCAAATCGCCCCCGATAATCCGAAAAGGATGGCCATCTTTCCAGAACATGTCTTCAGCAATCTCAAACGTTCGAGCATCAACCTAGTAAAAGCCAAAAACAAAAAACAAAAAAACAAAATTAAAATCTTCATCCACTGCAACATGTCAAAATCAAGTCAATGGCTTAGCGTTCATCATTCCGCTACAATTGAACTCAAAACGGTTCTAGTGAATCGAATTTCCCCATGACTTATTTATCACCCCAAGTCTCTAATTAACACCAAATCCTAGTTCGGGTAAAAAGATGGAAACTTTACAAAGGACCAACCAATTGGCGACGGGAAGAGCTGCGATTGTTGCCGTGGGGAAAAGAAGGGAGAAGAATGGAGAGGGCGGGGACGAAGGCGCAGAAGGCAGCGAGAGCTAGAAGGAGTAAGAATAGTAGAGTAGTTTTGGTTCGTCTTCCACTTCTCGCCATTTTTGCAGGTTTGGAGCTTGAAGAAATTGCTGCTGCTGCTAAATGTGTAGTAAAAGTCCCATTCTTGCTTCTTGTTCTGGTCATATTGAGACTGAAAGAAGAAGCCTTTTTGGGAATTCTTTTATTGTGGGAAATGGCGGGGTAGGTGAAGCGGAAAAGAACAGAAGCTGTTGCTTGTTGGCGGTCAATTTCCAACCCCAAGTAGCCATTGGCATTCTGTTACCTGAATATTTTCGTAACGTTTTTCTTATAACTTCTCAGCTAGTTATTCACAACCCATCAGTGGACCAATTTCTAAGCCTTACTGATGAAGCCCAGGAGTGGAGGCCTCATTTGATGAGTCCACAAACTTTTTAGCCCAGGAATGAAGGGTTGACCAAAATCGGGCTACGGCCCAAGTAGTTAGTGAGCTTTCAAATGATCACTCCAAGCAGTCCATGGAGTCGGGATTCAAAGCTACATGAAAGACATTGAGGAAGAATAATGAGCAACGATCTAGCGGCCAAACATAAGATAATGTGGTAAGTTATTTTCCGAATTATAAAGATTGAGGGCTTTGTAGTGAGGTTGGTCGCTGAAAGGACTTTGTGAGTTTCAAGGTTCAGGAGTTTGAGAGCTCTTTCTTTTTTCATTTGCTTTTTGTTGGTGCATTTTCTTTTGTTGGTGCACTTGGAGGGTAGCTATGTGCAGCAGTTTGTGCTGAGTAGTTTGCTAGTTGTGTTTTCAAACTTTTTTTCTTCAGTCTTTTCCCGTTATTAATATTATTTCACCCTTATAAAAAAAATGATTTTCTTTTCATTTTGATCTATGTACGGAATGTATGTAAAAGGGCATGACAAAGGAGGTTTATATGGCAGGGATGATGCGGCGAAAAAGAACTTGCTCTAGAGGTTTTATCGTCGATTTTCAATATAAAGTTTTCATGTTCAAATCTCTTAACTAGCACTTAATAACAAAAGTACAAACATATTATGCTTACCAAAAAAGTAAAAAAACTAGCATTGTTGGAGCATCCTATCATGATGCCATAAATGGCATGTCGATTCTACACTCATCATGGCACCCATGCTAACTATGTCTAGCGATTCGAACTCATTTGTTGATCTTGATCAACCAAGTTTGACAGTCGAAGGTATTCCAATTGTAGGGTGGTCTAGACTCAAGGAACGTGATAAACAAAAGCCAAAAACAAGGGGAAACCCAAGGACGACTTATTGTAGGAGTGTAAACGACTAGCTGCATTATTGGCTCGAGGAGCTCTTTTATGACCAAAGAATATGTGAACCATCAACGAAAGTGATGAATTAATTGATTTCAATCGAAAAACAAAAGTGTCCCGTAATTTTTTCAAAATTTTATCCGAACGTGCGAAATGAATTATCATGAAAAAATATATAATTAAATTTCAAGACATAAGTTTAAGTATTCATAAGTTAGATTTATTAAATAATAAACTAAACTTATAAGACTAGCTAAAATTACCCCGAGTTGTGGTTAGGCTTAATGGTAAGCCACAATGCAATATATGCCACTTTATCATTTCAAGTTAAATTATAAACAACTCTCATCATCAAACAAATAGCAAGGCTCACACCCTAAATAAATAAATAAAACAAATAGCAAGGTGGTGTTAACTAATTATCAATGATTAAGAACATAACGTAAAGCTGCAATAATTAAACCTAATCTATCTAAGAGATTCTATCCCATATATAAATATAATATTCCATCTTTGACCGTACTCCTCCTCTCATCTTTATGATTGGCTAATGAATACCCTCCTTAGTTCAAAAAGCATAACCCTACCTAATCACAACACCCTATCTCTAATTTATGCTTGGCTATCTTAACACCTAAAACTATGTTAGCCAATAATTATTGTGATTACTCATCATAAGACACGTATAGTATTTTCATGTGCATACAATAGACTATAATAAACATAGTGAATGACATAACTAAAGTGTTACGAAAGTGTTCTGAAAGACGTAGTGTTGCAAAATGAAGCCTCGATTGTGTCAATATAGTTGCAATCCCTTGTGATTAAGGTGTTGGAGCATGTAAGAAAGGAGATAGGTTTGAGTACTCTTCTGCCATGGTTTCCCTAAATACCTTTTCAACATGCTAAACGAACGTCTTTACTCACACATATATTGATAATGTATATCAGAGCTTACTAGACTAGCCAACAACACGAACTAATTGGTTTCTAACCTTCTCACTACTACATATAACACATCTCACTCGAAATCGAATCCTGAAATGCTATAACATCGTACATGTCAACATATTTTTCCACCCTAAATAACTTTTTCTTAGGGTTATAAGGTTGGGATTGAATATTCATCCATCCCCTACTTGCCAATCTATATTATGTGTCCCAAAAGCAAAACCCTTTTGGCATTTTGAAGAAGAAGAAAAAAAAAACCATATCTCCAAACTCAGCTAACTCCCACATCTCAATTATTTGTTTAATATAATCTTTTGTTCTCCCCTCGATCTCTTGAAAGAATCCGATGCCTTTTTTCTACTTCCGTTGTGTATACCACCTCCCTCAAAAATGTTTCCCCCTTTTCCTCTTAACACTTGCTTGGTAATTTCTTTCCTTTTTGAACAATCACTCCCACCATGGTATTATTCGAGTGGAAAATAAAGTGTCCAGTTTAATCAATATACCAAATGAATGATGGAATATTCCTGTGTTTCACGTGCATGCATTGTAATCAGAGAATTGTACCGACATACATAGATCTCTAAACCCCAGGATTGGAATGGCACTTGTTGGTGTCATGAGTTGCCAAGAACTTTTACTATTGTAAACCTCATAAATTACGTACCAATTGAGTAATATTTATGTGATTACTTGTATTGTATGTATATAGGGTTATTGTTGATTGTGTGGTCAAAAGGGTACGCCGATGCAAATATGATATATAAGTTTATATGCAAATTGGGTCAATTCTAATCATGTAGTGGGTGGTTCTCAAGCATTGATCGAGGTCAGGTCAGAGATGGTCAAATTTGAATAAATTTAACAGCGAGGGTTACACAAGCATAGGCGGAGGCAGGGGTGTTTGCCCCCATCCCGGGACATGGGTAACTTTTGGGAGGGAAAAAAATAACCCCACATATATTTGTACAGATCGAATTAAACACTTACGAGTAACATAAGAATGTTTTAACATTGCAACATAACTCATTACTTGTTCATTAATTCAAAAAAAATAATTAAATTATTGATTTCATTCACTATCATTTCACAACAGCTTGTTAGGTATTATCACGATATTATGGTGCAAACCATGAATGTATTTTACATTTCTTTCGTAATATGAAAACTCGTCCTGGTTATTTATGAAACAATAATTGTATTAGTCATTTTTTTTGTTTCTATGTGAATGAATTATTTAGGTATTATTAGTTTTAATTATATTTATAAAATGTTATATATATTCTGATTAAAGAACATGGGTAGTTTGAAATCCTGCCTCCACTACTGTACACAAGGTTGTATATATAAGAGGAGCCTGCTACATATGGTGTAATATAAATGTCAGAAAGAATGGTGCAACGTAACTATTAGTAGCATCTAAGTATATTTTATATGTTTCTAAATTATTATCTCTATACTAAAGCCATAAAGCAATGTATAAGAATTAAGAAGAGTCGCAAAATGATACTTACCTTCACTTTTAATAAAGAACAACTCCAACAAAGTAAAGATAACTTCCGATCATGACTGGACCATACAATATAAGAATTGCAAGGAAAGGAGGACACCAAACGATGGTTTGTTTTTATCTTCCAATGCTATCATTCACATGTGGACATGTCAAGAGAATAATCTTACAAAATTCTTTTCTTATGAATTGAGAGAATAATCAAATCCTATCTAGCTATAATTATTGAAAGAGAGGAGAGGGCCATAGCCCATATTTGTGTAAGCCTAACTCGAAGCAAAAGTGGACCACCATCGACACAATATTTCATTAGTGTTAGTGGAGAGTATGTGTAAGTTTGCTTATAAACAGAAAGTTCCCTTTTACATATGTTTGCTTACTATGTCGATGAAAGCGCTTCTTTTTTTCACCCCTTGGGATATAGCAAAGAGAACAATATAACTAATGATAATTTTATTTGATCATATGAAAGTTGAATTATTTGAAAGATATTGTGACCGATCGAAATCCATGCACAATTATTGTAAGCCATGACTAGAAAGAATGCATATTTTTCATTCATATGTGTTTTTGCATGTGAAGGTGCCCCAGTTGTTCCCTCATCCCTTCCCACTTAAACCCTTAAAAAGAGGGGCAAAATATCGAGAGAGAAAAAAGGGAAGAAATCCTTATATTTGGTAATCATATAATAATTACGTTGCTGAATTTAGTCCAATTGTCTATGGTTAGAGATTTGTCGTTTGTCTCTGCAAGTTATGTAGATCGAATTGATTGGACTAACGACTAAAGGTATAATGAAATATATTGTGATAATATATTCCATTAGTGTAAGATAAATATATGTTGGGTTACGAAGTTTTATCCAATATTTGGAGTGTTGTTTTGTAATATCTTTTTTTATGAATGGTAGGATTAGGAGGCATCGAGATGTCTCGTGTTCTACTCATGGATTTACCCCGCTCGTATATCTACTTTGAGCTATTATTCGTGATTTGGTTTTTCATCTAGCCATATTACTCTCACTTAACCAGAAGATAAAGACAATGTGTTCTCGGTGAGATCTTGCTTCAACATGTTAGCAAGGGAGAGTTTGCTAGTGTGGAGGACTTTTGTCACGATAATATTTGAAAAATGTTGGTACGCATCAAGACTTTGGTTTTTTTTTTTCTTCACATCATGGAAGCACGTCTGTTTAGATATTATTTCAAATAACCGTTTTGAACTATTTCAAAATAACTTATCCTCCAAATAACGCATCCCAAATTAATTTATCAAAACGAGTTATTTTGGTCCAAATAACTTACAGTGAGTAATTCGGATCAAAATAACTCATTCCAATGACCACTTTTTTTATCTTTTGAATTCTTTCGATATTGATGCTTCACATAAAAATATCATGTGCTGATCTCTGATATATATGTGGTACATAGGTGTGATTATCTTTTTGTCAAACTTTAATACAGTCTGTGTGATTAGTTGGTATCACAAAAGCACTGGGAATTTACGAAGGAAATGGGCGCACATACTGTCAAGTGCCAATTAATTAGCATATCTCTTGTATAGTAGAGGCTTAAGTTACCTAATGCACACGATTACAGTTCCATTTTAATTATGTTACTCATTTTTTTTACTCTGATTAAGATCATGAGAGTATTTAATTAAGTCAAGACATGGCAAGTTTTGTATGTACGTTCCCAATGCACGACATACTTACTGCTGTACAGGTGCTCCAAAGTATCATTCATTAATATAGCTGAAAATGCCAAAAATTAATTTATCATTAAATAGCAGCTGGTTTTCTGGGTTTTGGTGCCTTAAATTATGGTGATCAATCGATAGCGTATTATATCGATCAACGCTTTGAATATGAACGGTATCGAAGCTAAGGAAGGACTCATCACCTATTTAAATTAATTAAGCAACTGCCTTTCAAGTTTACAATTATTGTCAAATTAGTAACCTATTTAATCATAAAGCTTTGTTTTAATTAGTGTCCATGAAACCGTACCGTACCGGCGGTTCAACCACGAAATATCAGTATCGGAGGCTAAACTTATATGCGGTATTTATCAGTATAACGGTTGAACTACGGTTAAACCACGGATTTACCATAAAATACGCTACCGCTGACTTTCCCGATACGATCCCCGGTACGATTTCATCGAACATGGTTTTAATGTAGATGATCAACACTAAAAATACACTTTTAAATTACGACACTTGTCGTCAATAATGGTCCAAGAAAACCCTTAGGGCATCTCACATAATTAACAACATATGGGATGGGAGGAAACAGATTAACCAAAAAAAAGTACAACAAATTGAAATTACTCGTATAACATATAGAAAGATTCAAGAGGGGGATCATGAACTTATAACATTATATAAGAACAAAGTCCAAAATTAACCCAAGGCAGAAGGGTAAAAAAAAACAGTAAGAAAAAAAAGACGAGGGGGAATATATTCCTCTATTGGTAGAATTAATTACCTTGCCAAGGTTGTTTTTGAGACTCGTGACTATGATGAGTACTACTGCTGCTACTATGTCTCTGCTGTTGCTGTTGCTGCTCAGCAGCATTATCGTTGTTCATGCAGTTTCCAAAACCAGCCAAGCTCAGCAAATCACTGTGCGTCAATGGCCTCAGCCCCAAGAAATCCCTCGTCATCCCACCTCCTCCTCCTCCTCCACCGTCACCACCCGCCGCTGCCGCCTTCCCTCCGCCACCACCGCCAAACGCATCCTCAAACGAAGCCATCGCCCCGTCGTCGTCGTCAAAGCCCGCCCCACCCGCCGCCGCCGCCGACGACAACGAGTAGTTCATCATCTCCTGAAACAACCCTCCTCCTCCTCCACCGCCACCGCCTGCATTGTTGTTGGTGGTCCCCACGTCGTCACGTGACACGGACGACGCGAAACCAAAACCGGCATTGTTGTTGTTGGGCACGTGGTGGTCTGGGTAGGTCGGACCGGCCAGCATCAGGCCGGCCGGTTTGGAACCGGCCGTGGTGGCGGTGGTAGCGCCCATCTGGGCGGCCTTCTGGAGCAGCGCGGTGGCTGACATGTGTGGGCCGGACGCGGGGTGGAAGTTGGGTAAGGCCGGGCCCAGCTGGCTAGGGTTTGCTGGATTACTGGACAAAATGGATGATGAGGAGGGAGAAGATGACGAGAGATTATGATGATGAGGGTGGAGTGGGCCCGGGCCTACTCCTGATGCAGCAGCTCGTAGGCCTGCAGGCGGGCAGCTGGCTAGCCATGGTGGCAGCTCTCTGCTACCGCTGTTGCTGCCATTGTTGAGCAGGAGGCCGAAATTACCATTATTGTCCATCATGTGATGATTATTATTGCTGCCGCTGCCATCCTCCTTTTTCAGTGACTGGGAAGAGGAAGAAGAAAATGGGTAATGGAGGAAATTATTGTTGTTGTTGTTGTTTCCTTGGTGGTTGAATTGTGGGATTGTCTGGAGATGGGAAGAAGAAGAAGGTGTAGAAGGAAGAATCATTTGTGGGTTTGTGGTTGCTGTAGCGGTAGGGATGGCTCTTGCACTTTCTTCTGCTAATGCATCACAGAATGCTCTGTGGGTTATGAAACTGTCCCTCCTGCAAACACCAACAAAACAAACCAAACATATGAAACAAGACAAAAGAGAAAAGCAATTAAACAATATATGAATAATATTCACCCCCTCTTTCTTCCTCTCCTCTTCTTTCTGACTTTCTTTTCATCATCCATCTCTCTTTCTAGTGCTGCTCCTGCCATTATTACTATTTACCAAACTAAGCTTCAGTTTGACTATTTTCTTCCCTCTCTCTTTCTAATGTCAGCCATTAATGAAACCACATCCATCTCTCCCTCTACAAGGAATATGAGAAAATTCCCGCTACAAGGACAGATCTCTCACACATTTATTGCCAAATTCCCTTTGCCAACACCAAACCAAGGGCATAGGGAGAGCTTTATATAGTCTCACAATCTCACACCTTGTCCTTCACTAGGGAACACCAATTAATACTCTCTATCTCACAACCAAAACCAAAAAAAGGTATATATAGAGGAAATTAAAGCGAGAGAGATGATTGATTCAATCTTTTCATCATGCTGCCAATTCGTGTACAATATTTGATCATATGATGTTACCTTGAGAAGAGGGTGCCACAGTCACATCGGTACTCCCTAGTGCCACAGGTCTTGGAATGAGCCTTCCAATCCGACTGAACCGCGTACTTCTTCGAGCACTTGTCGCACTTCCACTTCTTCTCCCCGTGCTTCCTGCTGAAATGCTTCTTGATCCCCGTCAGATCCCCCAGCGCCCTCGAGGGGTCGTGGTGGACGCAGCTCGGCTCGGGGCACACGTACACTTTCTTCTTCACAACCTCATTCTTGGGCCTCTGCTTCAGCTTCCAAGGCAGGTTGTGGCCTCGCCTGTGGAGCTGCAAATTCTGGTCCCTCTGAAACCCTTTGTTGCAGATCTCGCATAGGAACCGGTTTGTTGCCATCAAGGTCTTGGGGGACAGAGATATCACTTCGGAATCTGGGTCTGGTCACAAAACCCCAAAAAAAAAAAAAGCTTGACCTCAAGATTTGTGACCCCATAAACAAAAACAAAAGTGGAAATTAATTATTGGTAATTTTTTGTTACCTGGGTTGCCTGGCATGTTTCTCTTCTTCTTGGGAGGTGGCTGATTGGATGGTGGGATTTCTGGAGGTGGGTGGTAATTGTTTTGATCCACTCTTCCTCCAGAGGAGACACTTGCTTCTCCTGAAGCTGAAGTTGTGAGGTTGGACATGTTTTCTTGATCTTGTTGCTGCTGCTGCTGAAACATGAAGCTTTTCATCATCATCATTATACAGTAAGGGAAAGGGAGGGATAAAGATTTGAACTTTGCTCTTGGGTTGTGCAAAAAGTGAAGGATCTAAAGGCAGGAGAAGAGGAGGGGGAAGAAAGGGTCAGAAGGAGGAAGGGATGAGTATATATACATATATGGCTGTGAATATTATAATAATGGTGGTGGTGGTGGTGAAGAGTAGTGGACTGATGTGATGATTTTGGGTTCCTTGTTTTCTCCTCAAGCTTTTTGTTTGGTTTTAGCTTGAAAACAAGGAAGAGAGGAAGAGGGTGGAAAGCTTCTATGGACTATTCCTTGTCATATAATTTTTTTTTTCATTTGGATCTGTGTTTTTGCTCTAACTCACTCACTTACTACTCTCTCTCCCTCTGGTTTGTTCTGCTTTGTTTGGACTCCACCAAGAACAGACAAGGTTTGGAACTCTTTTGGGTTTGGATTTGGTTCAGTTTCAAAGCAAACAAGAAAGGGTGGAGAAAGAAAAGAACTTTTCTTTTAAAAAAGAAGATAGAGAAAGAGAGAGGGATGGATGGAAGCTCTAGAACTGAGAAAACAAACCCAGAATAGAACTAGCTAGACCAGACCACTTGCTCTCTCTCAACCCATGAAGAAGCAAAGGAAAAAAAGGAGATGAAGAAATGATAATATGGGCTCTCTCAACCACACAAAGAAATATAGGAGGAAAAAAAAACCAATAGGGAAGAAAAGAAGATTGAAAACCTAGCTAGAGCTCGAATGTGAGAAGATGGCCATGAAACTGTGAGAGGAAAGTGAGATGAGAGGAGAAGAGGTGGAGATGTGGGATATGTGGAGAGATATCTCTTCTTTGTGATTCTTAATGGGTTTTTGTCCTAAATGAAAAATAAGAATAATTGTAATATTGAAAATTTGAATGCATAAACGGGAGAAAATAAAAAAATAAAATAAAAGAAACGGTGGGAGAGGGAGGGAAGCCTACGGCTGAAATTCTGACGTGGCACTTTCTGTCTTTTCCCTTGTTCCTTTTCTAGCAAACCCCCTGGAATGATATTATAAAAAAGCTGGAACTAGCTAATAGAAAAGGAATTACTCTCCACTTGCTTTTTTTTTTTTTCTTCTCATGAAGGTTATTACTATAGATATTTGTCAAAATATTAGTAATTTCGGACATAATTTTTGTAAGTGGTTTTATTTTTGTTAGGTGCGGGCGAAACGGTTTCCATCCAAAGTATGGACGCATTCACATTTATCAGATGAGTGAAGCATAGAAGTTCGAATTAATAAGGAAAGTTTACAAATTATTGTGTTGTAATAAAAAAAATATAATGAATGAGCCACAATCGAGATAGTCTTATGAGGTGGGAAATATAACTAGAATGATCAGGTGATGGTAATTCTTGAAGAAATGTAAAAATTTTACTGATGATACAAGAAATCCCAATTTAAGTTTATAAGTCATCTTAATCTATCGAAACTATGATAAATGAAGCTTTGCATATGAATCACACTAGATCTTTAACGAAGCAGCACTGTTAGATGGTACGATACTGTAAAGCTCTATTTACACTTATTCGAGTTTAGTGGCACAAGTTTATGCCACAATGAAATTAGTGAGCAGTAGATACAGGTCAGCTTTGTTGGTTGAGTAATATGCAACATTTTGAAAGTAAAGTATTAAATAAAATAATAAACATATTTGTCCGCGAGACGGATAACCTAAGGGAGATTTTTCAAACGTGAAATGTGATCATGATAATTAAAACTCCAATGGATTGTGAACCTCTAAATTGTTCAAACTTCAAACTACACAATCCTGGAAAAAAAAAACTTTCTCGATTGGCTTCTCCAAAGACCCTGAAGACGAGAGTGAAAATTGGGAAAATCCCGACTTTTGCCCTCCCTTGAATCAAGTCCCAAAAGCTTAAAAAGAAGGGTGCGAGGAGAAAAAAACAAAAGGCAACCCAGACTGTCTTCACCTTTAAATTTTCCCCTCCATTTTTCAAAGGAAAAGTGAAGTGATGAGCACCAATTTGTCTTTTTTTTTTTTTTGGTTGTGGTGTATCAATGCACAGATCGAGAGAAGAGGACAGACAGCAGGCAACAAACAAAAAGGGTTAAAACATGATTTTTTGATTTATGGAGAAACGTAAAAACTAATGAAAAGTTACAACATGATTTGCACAGTTGACTCCCTTTTACCCAACTAACTTTCCCAACATTTTTACGGTCGCATGATTGATCAATTGATTGAAATTCCCCCCAACATGGGTTTGTTTTTTTTACTGATCACTCGTGGCTTACTGAAAAAGCTTTTTTTTACCTTTATCATAAGCTTTCAGTATATCTCAGTGTGCATTGCATTAGCCATGCTACCTAGCTTATGTGTATTGTTCAAGAAAGAAAAATCCTAGCTAGCTAGCTCTGTGGTCTATAAAGTTTGAGTAGGGAACTAGATAGGTTGACAAAAATTGACAATACATTCCCCTTTTGTATGCACACTCTACTCGTTGTTATCCGATCGAGGTAGGGAATTTGATTTTTTGACCGAGCATGAGACGTCTATATCATATACTCTTAAATAAAATGTTGAAGATCGAGTTAAGAGTTTATGCAACTCCAACTCATAGTTGTTTATTATTAGTAAATAAAGACATTTTAGATTTTAACTCTCACCCCAATTCTTGAGATCGGCCGCTCGTTTGTAAAAACGAATCATCCTATAAATTAAAGTCATGCTCAATATCATTCTTATTTGCTCAAATTCTCCTCTCACCGGCTAGATGGAGAAGTTGGTGAGGTTTTTGTTAATCACACCACATTTTGTACGTGGTTAGCCACTAGGGGTGGCCGTTCGGTTACCGGTTAACCGCTAACCGAAATAACTGAATTTTGGTCGGTTATCGGAGGCTGGACAAAAGTGGTTCGGTTAACCGATAACCGAGATAACAAAAAAACCAAAGCCTATTTCGGTCGATTATCGGTAGAGAAAGTGATTATTTCAGTTAACCGATAACCGACCGATCGGTTATCGGTTATAACCGAACTGTCACCCTATTAGCCACAACCAAAATCTATTTACCATAAAACGTAGGGAGATTCAAACGAGAACACACAAACGGTAAAAATATGCAGGAACTATGTGTCACGCATGGAGAAGATATCACATAAAGGATGAACAAAAGAAGAAATAGAGCAGTAGAACTGTAGAAGGAAGGTACAAATCAAAACAGGACAAATAAATATCGTGGATAAAATAAGCGGCAGAATTAGAGAATAGATAAATGCTATTGAGGGGGCAATAATATAGCACCATCTTTATTCATAAAAGACGTCAAGATAATTCAATAATAAGTACAAAGTAGAAATATTCCGTAACTAATTCAACAATATAACCAATAACTTACTAAAGTGCCTAGCTATTAAACCTTAGACAAGTCTCCAAAAGTTGATAATCATATTTATTAATATCAATAATGATATGCTAATATTAAAAAATAAAAATTATATGGATAAGTGTGGTTTAATTGCAACCACTAACCACAAACAGACCACCAACCACAAAAGATAATCATTGTGTAATCAAAATATGTGTGATTCGATGCGATTTAATTTGTGGTCATCCTGCAACCCACAAAACCGAACTTCCACCCCCCAACTAGATAACTTGGTTGGTTAAATGTCCGCGCTTCGGGACTATGCATGTCTATTCAACAAAAAAGGAGAAATTAGTCATGAATTAGCATATGCGTAAACTAAATATCTAGATATGACACCTGAACAACCACGTAAAGGATGATAATTGTTGTTTTACATAGAAAACTAATCATCCGTAGTTAATTAGTATATAAATATGATGCTCTCATGAGTCTCATGATGACACAATAATTAACAACAACATTTGAAATCGTTTGTTGTGATGCATCTCCAACCAAACTAAACTTACTACTGTTGCTATATTGTCATCTGGACGGCGATATGGTAATGATGATAATAATAACTTTACTTTCCATGCACACTAACTCGCAAGGTCAAATGTACGTACGTGCATATATAATATATATATACAAAGTAAATTAATTATATGTAATAAATATTTAAATTTTATAGGCCGTGTATATAACATACAGTTGACTTGGGTTCGGTCGGTTAGTCCAACAAAGTTAGCTAGCTAGTAAGCGTAGTACGTATAGTGTGTGTCTTATTTTTTTTTTAACCACGTACGTAAGGAGAAAGTGAAAGTGAGGTAGGTAGGTGATTAGTTAGGCCTTCTTCAAATTAAATGTTGTTTTGTTAAAAGGGTTTAGGTCTATATATAATCATGTATGTGATTAATGAGTTGTTCTTTAGACCTAAATAATTGCATATAATTAAGTGGGAGACCAATGTTTTGTAATGTGTGATATGAGAGGTGCGTTGACCGTTAGTTGAAGCTTAGTCAACTATGAGCTAGCTATATATATAGTTAGCTACTTTCTTGATCTCTTTCTCTTCTTTTCAAAGATGAGATGGTTGTGGTGGTGGTGGAAAGCTTTATTAACCCACTTTTGGTTTTGCCAACAAACCAAAGAAGTGTATTGTTTTTTGGGGTCACAACCCTTTACCATCATCACCCACCTGCCTGCCTTTTGGTTTTTGAACCAATATTTTTCACTTCCAATGTTGGAATTGTTATGTCTAAACCCTAAAACTACTTATTCTCAAACTTATATCTAGATAATATTTCATGGAACGGTTGTTATTTGAATGTTTGAGTATCAGTATGCAAAAAAAAATCACAATCGCTCGTCTCTTGTTGTGTAGTGAATTACTTTATCGGTGTGAATAGTACGCTTTGTTTGTTTGCGGGAGCATCGACCTTTATTGGACGTCGGCTCAAAGACTATTCAAGTGCCAGATCGAGCCACATCAGAGGAGCGATTGAGAGTCCATGTACACCAACATCCATACTAATTGTTAGCTAGCTAGTCTTGAGGGAATGCTTATAATGTCCCACTAAACGTTTAATATCCTTTTGAGCTTCA